CCCATCCGGTGGGCGGTAGTGGACCCCATACCGATCCGGTGGGCGGGAGTGGACCCCATACCCAGCCTGTGAGTGGTATTGGACCCCATACCCATCCTGTGGACGATAGTGGAAAGGATTACAGAGGCAGATAATGGGCTCAGGGACTGAACCCCAAATTTCATTTAGTTAAGCAAGTTATTTATTTATTAATTTATAGTATATAGAAGAAGGTACGTAGGGTTGAAGTTGATGGTACATTAGGTTGAAGAGTACATAGCATTGATGTTTTTACATTCTTGTAAAGCCACTAACACGCGTAGCATTTCGGGCAAATCCTTAATCTAACAAATAATTTTAAGTAGGTAATTTGTGGCAAAATTGAAAAAGTTAACAGGTACACTGTAAGAAAATTTGAAGAAAATTAATAAGTACATTATAGTAAAAATTGAGGCTTATCAACAGGTACATTGTAGCATAATTTGAGTATTATTTCTAGGTACATTATAGTAAAGTTTGCGTTCAACACAAAACCATGATATAAGATGATAGCAGTGATTACAACAATATAGTTACATGGCATAGGCACATATTTTGGGGTAGGGGTAGCAGTTAATTTTGATAAGCTAGTTACAAAATGTAATGTATATCGTTTATATAATCAATGGATTAGAAACCGTCCAGACACGTACTATGTAAACGAAGCAGCTTACATATGTGGTGAGCTAGTTTCATAATTAATATGTTTATCGTGAACACCTCACCCCCCCCCCCCTTTCAGTCGGCAGCGGTGGATCGGTTACAGTCACTGACAGTTACCACCTACAGTTAGCAAAATGGAGAGTATACGCACAGGGAGTTTACTGTAGTCCATAAGTAAATTATAAAATACATAATACAAAAGTATTATTGATGGTTGGTCAATAAGCTGTTGTTGCCTTAATAAGTCTCCGTGGCGAAGTGGTAAAACACTCGCCTGGCGCTTCGCGAGCGCCTTCAAGTTCAAGTATGTTTATTGAGATAAGAAAGAAATACATCTCAAAGAGATAGAGTAGCTTAGGCTATTTCTACCCCCCTCTACTTCAAGTCCCTTAAGGGGCGCACAAATTCAGTGAGTACAAATAGACAAAAAACATTACAAGAATCCTATTTAACATTGCAGGTTAATATAGTAAGCACAGCATATAATTGTTACACTCTTGGGGCAAAATTCTTGTAGCTCCTAAGTATACTGTCTATCATACCATTATCACACATCCAAACAATTTGATGTGGTACACTACTTATTTCCTTATTTCTATAGTTATCAATAAGTTGACACTCTAATACATAATGTTCTAAGGTGTGGGCGTGCGGCATACTACATAATTTACACTCCTTATCTTTTTCACTGATATCAACACCGTATAACCATATAAATTCTTGTATATAAATCTTGTATTCTTGCATCTTCTTGTATATAAATAAATAAATACAAAATAATAAATAAATAAATAAGGTTAAGGTGAGAAATGAGGAGTTATACAATGCAATATATATAAATCTATATATATAATTATATTGAATTCTCCTGCAATCAGTTCAATGGTGTTGTTGTGACTGAAGAGTTTGTACACTCTCCTGAAACTGCTTTCTTAGATAAGTTAAGCTTCCCTTGAAGATCGCGAGTGGCTGCTTCCCTCACATTTAATTTGTCTCAAAAAACTAAAGAATAACTGCTGTTGCATGGTTTTCCTGACAATAAATAATAATAATAATAATAATTGATATTTATGTAAGAGTACATACATAGGAATTGTAGAGAAGGGGAGAGTTGGAGACGCACTCTACATAAACCCACCAATGCGCAGTGTTTCTGGCGTAGCGTAAAAACAATTTGGAGAAAATGAACATGTACAATGGGGTAATACTGAAAACTAAATGAGATATGGTAACAGTTTTGAATTGTTGAATGATAATTTACAATTTTACATCTCTTTCAGAGTAAGAATCTTCGAGCAAATTCTGTAGTCAGGTAAAGGTGCCTGAAGGTGAGGTACTGGAGCAGGTGAGGTACTGGAGCAGGTGAGGTACTGGAGCAGGTGAGGTACTGCAGCAGGTGAGGTACTGTAGTAGGTGAGGTACTGGAGCAGGTGAGGTACTGGAGCAGGTGAGGTACTGGAGCAGGTGAGGTACTGGAGCAGGTGAGGTACTGGTGCAGGTGAGGTACTTGTGCTGGTGAGGTACTGGAGCAGGTGAGGTACTGGAGCAGGTGAGGTACTGGAGCAGGTGAGGTACTTGTGCAGGTGAGGTACTGGAGCAGGTGAGGTACTGGAGCAGGTGAGGTACTGGAGCAGGTGAGGTACTGGTGAAGGTGACGTACTGGATGGAGTAGGTGCTGAAAGTGAACAGACACACAGTTACAGCCTCGTTCCTGTGCCAGGTAAGTCCCCTACGGGGACACCATAGCCCTTGCTACTAGGAACTTTTTGTTCCCAGTAGCTGAAACTTAAGCAACAACAGTGAACAAAGAAGAGTGAGAGTTAATCCCAGGCTTTAAGATCCTCTCTTGTGAAGAAATATTAATAAACCATGATTGATATCCTTTAGAAAGGCGAGAAAAAAGTTAGGAGGGACATACATGAAACCCACTAATGAATGAAAAGTATACAGAGAAACATTAATAAGGTACAAATTATACCAACACTAAACCATGAAAACATCGGGAACAAAGTCGATGAGTTTAGACGAAGAACAGAACTGGGGACTCAGTGGTTTGGAATTAAGTTTGCTTGATTTACAGTACAGGCGTGAGGTCACTGGATTGTTCCGAGGGTTGACCAGATTATGAATGTTTGTGGTTGGTTGGGGGATGCCACCCATGGACCAGTCTGCCTACCACAAGGGTCCATTTTGGGGCCAACCCTTTTTTATCATTTACATCAATGACATAGATGAGAACATTACAAACCACGTCATCTAAGAGCTGCAGATGACACTAAGATTTATGATAAAGTAGGAAATGAAAGTGATATTGAGGTCTTACAAAGGGATCTGCACGAACTCTTACAAATGGCCGGAAGACTGGAAAATGCTTTTTAATATGGATAAATGTAAGACCTTGCATCAGGGCATAACAATGCTCATCATAATTCAGAGTCAGAATCCTCCAATCTCTGAACGTTGCACAACAAGAGGAAGCTGCAGGGAGAAAAGCCAACCAAACCCAAGAATTTGTCTAACAATAGTCAAATTAGTTCTTTTTGACTAAGAATAGTCAAAAGAACGTTTGACTTCAAGTAAAAGAAGATAATTATTCAACTGCATAAATATCTTGGATTACCCTCATTTGGGTAATTAGGTAATTACCCTCACTTGGGTAATTACTCTCACTTGGGTAATTACCCTCACTTGGGTAATTAGGTAATTACTCTCACTTAGGTAATTACGTTCACTTGGATTATTGTATCCAAGCATGGAGACCTCAACTTCAGAAGAACATATTTACTTTAGAGAAAGTTCAACACAGGGTGTTGAAGATTCCTCAAGATAAGGGTTATCTTGAGATGATTTCGGGGCTTAGCGTCCCCGCAGCCCGGTCTTCGAACAGGCCTCCTTTTTGTTACACACCCCCAGGAAGCAGCCCGTAGCAGCTGTCTAACTCCCAGGTACCTATTTACTGCTAGGTGAACAGATGCATCTGGGTGAAAGAAACTCTGCCCATTTGTTTCCGCCTCCACCGGGGATCGAACCCGGAACCCTAGGACTATAAATCCCGAGCGCTGTCCACTCAGCTGCCAGGGCCCCTCAGGGTAAGAAAAGTCATTTCAGAACTAAGTCGACTCCCATACAGGCAACGGTTGAGGGCCACAGGGCTAACAACACTCAAACCAGACATGACAGGGCTGATCTCATCTAAACTTTTAAAATATTGAACGACTTGGAGGATATTGATCCAAACCACTTCTTCAAGAAGTCACATGTAACACAAACAAGGAGCAACGGCCTCAACCTCAACAAGTCACAATATTGAAAGGAAAACAGGATATGCTTTTTCACCCACAGGGTTATAAACCCGTGGTACCACATACCCGCCGAAGCCATTAATGCAAAAACATTGCAGCAATACAAGATGCTGTTGAATAACTTCATTAGGACAAATGGAGGACCTTTAACAAGCCGCCGGCTTCCTGTCCTCGTCGAATCCACTAGAGACTTAGTGGCCCTTGGGTAAATTCAGGTAAAGAGACTGAAAGGTGTAGCCTGCTTCTCTTCTGTGTATATATACTGAGAGGTGTACCCTGCTTCTCTTCTTGGTGTAAATACACTGAGGGGTGTATCCAACTTTTCTTCTCGGTGTATATACACTGAGAGGTGCAGCCCGTTCCACCGTGAATATTTATTGAGAATTTAGTTCTGGGCATTGTTTAGGACAAAGTATTTGCTGGTTGACTAATAAACTATTGTGTAATGTCCTTAATTACCCTCTCGCAGTTGATAAATTGTCATCAGTGTTTGGTGTCAACGAGGTATGTTCCACAGGCAGCGTGCTTGTGTATGTTTGTGGACACTGTTTGTGTGTGTGTGTGTGTGTGTGTGTGTGTGTGTGTGTGTGTGTGTGTGTATGGCTACTGCGGGGGTTGAGCTCTGGCTCTTTGATGTCCCGCCTCCTGTGCAAGCTAAGGAAGGCAGCAGACAGTGTGTACAGCGCTGAAAACAAGTTTACGTCTAACAAATGCCAGGTAAAACCGAAAAGGTTCTAATTTTGGAAATTAATTGTTTTATCTTTTTGAACTGGACAAGGAACTAAGAATATAAACAGTAATTAGCATTATCATCATGAGATGCCTTATATCTAGAGAGTGATAAACAGAGCGTTATTGTTTGCAAGTGATTGTCTAAATTAACACCATGGTATCTTTTTGTACATAAACTTTACCGTGATTTAGTGTTAAACAGAGCGTTATTGCAAGTTGTAATCAATGTACATAAACTTTTAATTTGTGTTATTTTGACCATTTTAACATTTTCAGTATGCAGAGACAATGGCTATTGCGCATCCGTGTACGGCGGTTTCTGCTTCCTGAAGGCCAACGTGGCTGCGGCGTGTCCAACAGGCAACATATATAACGCTGGCTGTGCCGGACGCAGCTGTGCCTGCTGTGTCCCAGGTCAGAACTCTTAACTTATCACATTAACATACCTTTATTGCTTTCCCATTGTCGGGGACAGGAAGCCTGTTTCAGGCTTCCTGTCCTCAACAGGAGAAAGGTTAGGCTTACCTTTTATCCTTTTCAAAGCATTGAAATTAAATTTTGTATTGGATACTTATTATTTGTGTTGAGCTGTCGTGGAAAACCCCACTAAAGATGATAATAGTGGTTACTCAGACCTCGTTGCTAGTTGCAAAGTGGTCCCCACAGCAGTTCATGCATCAGGGGCCCCAAAACTGTAGGTCCTCCATTGTACATATATAGATACGGGTAAATTTAATTGTGAAAGAGGATTAGTGGTAATGGTTAGTAAAGTAATTGAGCCAACAATGAATCAATAAACGAAATAAGGCAATTGGAATATGTTTTTTTTCAGAAGTGTTATAACAACACCAACATTATCTTTCAGTCATGCCTTGCACTAATAAGACAATTACTAATAAGTAATAATTCATATTACAGAATGAACATAAATTCTCTCGACAAAAATTACGTAGAATTAAGAATTAATGATGTCATTCAACGTAGAATGACATAGTTAATCTTGCCAATCCCTAGTACTGTACTAGAGATCATTGTTACGAAGACAGGCAAGGCGAACCTCACTTACATTTTCTGTCAACACTGTGGACGACAAGGAGAGACATGATATCACAATTTACAAGTGGATGAAAGTAATTTACAAGTGGGATTAATATATTTAAACACTTACAAAACAATAAATAAACTAATGCAAATGGATTAATGTAAATATTAACAATTGCAGATGTAACCAAGTGCATTGCGAAGCCTAAGTGTTACGCACTTGGAGGTTCTTGCGTGAAGCCTGCCGATCCTTGCGCCAAGGCTCATAGGAACCCTACTTTTTGCAGAGGAACCGGTTGTGCCTGCTGTTATTAAGGTGAGTACCGAGTCTGAGTCTGCTGTTATTAAGGTGAGTACCGAGTCTGAGTCTGCTGTTATTAAGGTGAGTACCGAGTCTGTGTCTGCTGTTATTAAGGTGAGTACTGTGTCTGCTGTTATTAGCGTGAGTACTGTGTCTGCTGTTACTCACATGAGTCCTACACTGGTGTGGGTTGCATCCTTGGCAAGGTCAACAGGCAAGCAAAGAGGATCTTGATAAGTTGATAAGCCCAACATGCTTCCTGTGGCCAACACTTTGACTCATCGGTCCTGCGGAGGTCTCGCGCTTCTTGCAGGTCGGCTTCGATCCCCGACGGCCTAAGTGGTTGGGCACCGTTCCCTCCATCCTATCCCGACTCTGTCCTCCTAACCCTTCCAAGTGCTTTAGTCAGACTCTTACTCCTCAAAATGACTTTACCTTCCTGTTCCCAATAATGGGAACCAATATATAATTAAACACTTAAATTGACATTTTCCTCATTAAAATAAACAAGACAACACAGTCTTTAACACAGTCTTGTGTTAAAGCAAGACAACTTTAAATTCATAACTTGCCCATTGAAAAAAAAATAAAACTTCACATTTGTTTAGTATGTATTAAGTCCACATTATAACAGTTTACTGATCAATCAACAAATATACTTTAGTCCTGAATTTAGTCCACGGCTAAACTCTCATTGTATTTACTTGAATTCACCTGAGGGCCACCATCGCTGAAGGCCTCGGATAAGGACAGGAAGACAGCAGTTTGTCAAAAGTCCCCCTAATCATTCTTGAGAATATTTTTCAGCTGAAAATTAAACGGAAGCAGTGCGGTGAAATGCTTCTCGGTCTATACTGAGTACATAATGGCTTCTGATCTCTATATTAAAAGTCTCAGGCAAAGAAAAAACGGAAGACCTAGAGATCTACACTAACCCCACCAGCTCCAGAACTGGTACAGCCAGCCCACCAGGGCTGAAAACCACCATGAAAACCCCCATCCGTCCCCAGATCTCTAGTATCTCGTATCTGCTATTGATATAGATAATGGCTCCAAAGAGCCTCCACTTACGGGCTCACCATAGCCCGTGCTACTTGGAATTTTTTGTTCTGAGTAGCTGACTCTTAAACAACAACTTCTGTGTTATGATTACGGGCTATTCATGCAACCCGTCCTCTTAAAAATAACGTCACTTTTGGCTCGTATGCGCACTATGGCCAAATTTGGACGTAATTTGAAATGAAATCGACTCACAAAAGTGACGTTCTGTTCCGTTTTCTATTTGAGTCGTCCGGCGTACGCGCAGAGGTTATAAGAAGACACTTTAAATTAACGTTTTTCATAACGTTTTGAAACTTTATAAGAATGTCCTGCCCACCTAACCTATCAGAGGACCCTTAACTTACTGTTGTTGAAAAAAAAATCCCAAATTTATTTTCATTTTTTTTTTCATTTTCAAATTACGTCCAAATTCGGCCATAAGGGCAAACGGCCAAAAGCGACGTTGTTTTTAAGAGGACAGGTTGATTGCCCGTGCCACCTTTTGGGTGGCCTAAACTTTATCATCTATATTATATTTATATTTTCTTTGCAGAACTGACGACGGCGAGGCGGAGGGCAGACTTAACCATACACATGGAAGGTCAATTGAGCTGTTAACTCTTACCACGAAGACATCCCTTAGAAAATGAAAAGTAGAGTGTATCATTTAACTCTTTTTAGTACTGGTGTTCAATTGTATGTGAGGGATGATTAGGAATTACTTATTCCATACGTAGGTTCATCAGCATTATAATGAGGCTCTCATACATTACCCTCCGGTTCAGCAATGCATTAAATCCCACTTAATCAATGCATATTTTTAGTAAAAATGCTGAAAAAAATCTAAATTTTCTAAAAATTAATTATATATTTGTGTTAATGTGTGTGAAAGGCAGATCCTTGCCTAAAAATTTGCACTGCACTGAAAATTCCAGAATTTAACAATAGTGTGCTTATTCATTTAGGTAATTCACAAAATAGCTAGTACTAAAATAATTGTGTATTTTCTGAATTATCCATCCTTTACATTTATTTTGTGTAGTTAAATTTCACTCTAATTTTAATTGGAATTACAAATTATTTTCCATACGGAATCTATCAATAATGATCCTGTGGTTTGTGCACGAAGATATTATGTGATTAAATATCTGTTTGACAAACACGCAAGTTTCATAGTCCTTTACCATATGCCGTTACAGGCTTTCTCCATGTGAATACTCGATCTTCTACCATAAATACCACCATCGCATAGAACCACCACCACCACACAGAACCACCACCATCACACAGAACCACCACCATCACACAGAACCACCACCATCACACAGAACCACCACCATCACACAGAACCACCACCATCACATAGAACCACCACCATCACATAGAACCACCACCATCACATAGAACCACCACCATCACTTAGAACCACCACCATCACACAGAACACCATCACACAGAACCACCACCATCACATAGAACCACCACCATCACAGAGAACCACCACCACCATAGAACCACCACCATCACATAGAACAACCAATAGCACATAGAACCACCACCATCACAGAGAACCACCACCATCACAGAGAACCACCACCATCACAGAGAACCACCACCATCACATAGAACCACCACCATCACAGAGAACCACTACCATCACATAGAACCACCACCATCACAGAGAACCACCACCATCACAGAGAACCACTACCATCACATAGAACCACCACCATCACACAGAACCACCACCATCACATAGAACCACCAGCACATAGAACCATTACATTACATAGAACCACTCGCAGGTGCCACCACAGGTGTTCTTCCTTGTCATTTGTTATGCACTGTTCTCACTTCCAGGAGCCACCACAAGTGTTCTTCACCGTTACTTGTTATGCACTGTTCTCACTCCCGGGTGTCACTATTAGTGTTCTTCACCATCACTTGTTATGCACTGTTCTCACTCCCAGGTTCCATCAGATATTTTCCTCTTCACTTATTGTGGTTTAGATCATAGAGGTTTATAACCCTATGGGGGAAAAAACATCTCCTGTTTTCTGTTCTACATAGTGGTTTGAGCTTGAAGCCGTTGCTCCTTGTACGAGATACATTTGACCTTTTTTTAAAAAAAAGTGGTCTGGATTAACATCCTCTACATTCTTCAATATTTTAAATGTCCTGATGAGATCATCTCTGGCATGTCTCATTTGCGTTATTAATTCTGTAACCCTTCACCGTTCCTGGTATAAGAGTTAATTTATTTCTGGGATAATTTTGTCACTGTGTTGAACATTCTCCGAAGCAGACGTGTCCTTCCGAAGGAGAGAGCACTAAGCTTGGATACATTAGTTCAGATGGGGACACACCCGAGACTTATACAGTTAAATTTCTATTTTTTTTTTTTTTGTCCTTGAATTCAAAGGGTCTTTGGAGTTTGGACTATTTCTAAGGTTTGGTTAGTTTCTTGTACATGCTCCCATTTGTTGTGCAACTTTCAATGACTGGTGGATCCTAACTCCTAGGTACTTTCTCTTCATCAATCTGTTGCATGGTAGGTAGTGCTATGATAGTTGAGATGTACATTGTTATGTCCTACATTCATGGTCTTGCATTTTTCAATATTGAAAAGCATTTGTCAGACTTCTGACCTAAATTATATTATATTTTTAGAATGCACACTTTTGTTTTATTTAATCAACAGATTCATATTTCAATGCACCAAAACATGTCTATAACATGTGTAAATTCCCATATATTTAACACATCGTCTAATGTTAAATTAAATGGTAAGAAAAGTCATTACAGTATATATTTATGTTTAACATTTTACTGGCAAATAAATAATGTGCATTCAAGGAAAAATATACATTCCAGGACGACTATATACAATATAAAACAAACACTGCTTTTTAAACAAGAAAATTAGCACAAACTTTTAGTTCTAAGACGATATGTCAAAAAGGTACTATTCAGTACAGCATTTCAAATTCATATCTACAGATTTTAAGAAATTTTTATTCTTTACTTCTTCCTAAATATTCTGAACAAATTTAAGTTTTAAGGGGAAAGGAATCGGTAATGTTTCGTAATTCCAGTCATCTTGGAGCGTATCATCACCAGTTGTCGTCACATTGTTTAACTGCATGAACAGCATAATTGATTGATGTATTAGACAGCCAGGACCACTTGTTTACCAAGGGATTGTATGCCATTCCATGAACCAGACGAGTCACACAGCCATCTGAGGGAATAAAACAAATATCTTTCATTACCTAAAATGTTTTTGAAAGTATAAATGAGATTAGTAACAACTGGATACTAACTGGATAAATGCCAATTTATACATTACATAGTGTTTATACTAGTTACACACTTTTACAAGAACAATGATAGTGATCCTTATGTTACAAAAATGCAAAATCCTGAAAATAACACTGTACTAATATATTTATATCAATATATTGTACTATATTGGTATGATTGTCAATAGCATGACATAACAGACAAAATAGAATGTAAATCTTAAAATATTTGATTTATTAATATTACCCTGTGAAGAAAATGGTGATAATTGTTCACACTAACACTTCTTATGGGACTAAAGTCATTATTAATGAAGTATCATTTGGTGACTTATTACATCTCATTCCTGAAATTATTTATCCAATTGGTACTTTCTTGTCCATCATTATCTTCTTGTACATTCTCACATGAATATGCTTCCTGAGACTACCGAATTTGTATGCATAATATATTTCTGTGCTTTTTAAGTAATCTAACAAATACTGCATATTGAGTTCTGCAAATGTGTAAAAGCTTATTTTATTGTCTTAATACTTGAAAGCATTTTAAATGTCTAGAAAATATTACGCCTGAAACTACCACCACAAAGAACAACAATTACCAAAAAGGGAAAGCTAGAGTCAAAGATGAAAGCAATGGCAATCACTATATTCACACACAAGCAAGCAAGTAGAATCTAAGAACGTGAAAAAAGATAGCAAGATTTGTAAGAACGTAGAGCTATGAGCTAAGAACTATGAACATAAAAAAAGACAGCCAGTCACAATAATGTGGTTGAAAATCAGACGCCCAATCTACACTTCTGAAAATAAAAGAAGTAACAAAAAGTCGTCACTTACAATATTTTCAGATGTGTGGATTTGGAGTCATGAAAAAGATGAAATTAAGTTAGATACATCAGATTATAATAAAATATAAATTTAATCTTTTGTGATAAATTAGAATTAAAATGTTTGCCATAAATTACCGAGATGCACAGCAGACATCACCAAAACAGAGCACAGATACCACAGACAATTTATTAAATACAGGTATTCGCAAAGTAATACACCTAAGGAAACTGCAGTAAAAATTTTTTTACTTCATAATACATATCACGGTGCTACATAGTCTTTCCAGCTTGGTGCCTTCTTCTGATAATTACTTACTTCATAATACAGTGGTACCTCAGCTTATGAATTTAATCCATTCCCAGAGACAGTTCGTAAGCCAAAAATTCGTAAACTTAGCGAATTTTCCCCTAAGAAATAATATAAATTGAATTAATCTGTTCCAACTCCCCAAAAAATTAACTTCAAAGAAAATTTTATACTTAATTCACCCAAATCTTTAGTACTAGAATATATACAATTTATTGCTTACGTTAATTGCTGACTCTTCATGACTTCTCTGGGGTACACACAGTCACGTTTTCCCTACATACCACTAGGACCCGCTTGTGGCTCACTGCTTGTTTTTCTCGCTATAAACCTGTCTAGAGACACTTGTTTTTTCCCTACTTTGTAACACTTGAACACTTGTCTGAAGTGAGACATCACATTGTCATTAAAAAGGTTAACATAAAGGCCTACTACAGCTTGCTCTGGATGAATTAATAATAACTTTTCAACATCTTCAAGTGTTTGTGTTCTTTGTTTCGTGATTGTGATATGCCTTTTGCCACTTTAGCACTCAATGTCTTTTTTTTTTTAGCAATTACAGTGCATATCGTTGACACAGATTTGTTGTACTGCCTAGCAATTCAACAACCCGTGTACCATTTTCATGTTTACGAATGATCTCTTTTTTCCTTTATGGTCATTCTAATATGTTTTCTTGGCTTCAACCTTACCACTGGCTTTCTTGGGACCCACGGCAAGATATATTATAATAACTTATGCTCAAATACCCCAAAATCCGAAAAACACTGAAATTCTTTACAAAGAATTCGGGTGTGATTGTCACTAGGCGGGAGGCACTGGTAAACTGAGGTGCGATCGCTGTGTCAACACGCGCTAGGTCGGCCATATGTCCATCAACAAACTTCGTTTCCCGAGGCAAAGTTCGTAACCCGATTCAGATTTTACTTCAATTTAGTTCATGAGAACAAGGAGATAGTCGTCAGGAGAGGTGACAAGTCGCCAATATACGTCATTCATAAAAAAGACGAATATCTGGCGAAAATGAACCTCATTCTCTCTGACCAAACTAAATTCCAAAGGGTAACGAAGGACACTACAGCCGAATTGAAGGCAAAGGTCAACAAATTGATCGAAACTGTGAACGCCAAGAAATCCGGACTCCACCTGCCAAAGATTATTGGGGAATATAAGCCTGGATACACATATGGAAATGTGAAGACACATAAGCCTGGAAACCCACTTCGGCCAATCATTAGCCAGATACCCACACCCACGTACAGACTGGCGAAGCGACTCAACGGCTTGCTGACTCCTTATGTCCCTTGCACCTTCAGCCTGAAGTCTCCAAAGGAATTTGTTGACTTACTGCGGGGAACACGGGCCACAGGAATAAGAGCCTCATTGGACGTAGAATCACTGCTTACCAACGTACCTGTGGATGAAACAATCGGGATGATAGCGGACAGAGTGTATCGTGATCTGGCCTGTACTCCTCTTGACATACCAGAAAACATTCTAAGGAAACTACTCCAAGCTTGTACTAAAGAGGCACCCTTCTTGAGCCCGGATGGGCACATGTATAAGCAAGTAGATGGGGTTGCCATGGGTTCTCCCCTAGGTGTCCTGTTTGCGAACTTCTACATGGGTACCATCGAACAAAAGGTCTTAGTCGACATGAACTTGAAACCGGCCATATGCTGCAGGAATGTTGACGACGTTTTACACAGGTACCTGATGTTAGACATCTGCAGGAGCTGAAGGAGGCATTTGAGCGGAATTCTGTATTGCGTTTCACTTACGAGATGGAGAAG